ACACACACACATGCACACTCGCGCACACACATTCACACATATGCACACACACGCATGCACACACACGCGCACACACGCGTGCGCACGCACCCCCCCCACACACACGTGCACACACGCTGTCATGAGAATACCTGTATCCATCACACCAAAGAGCCAGTCCCCACACGCCTGCAGGCCACACGGCCAGGTGAGGCCCTGCTCCTGGCAGATGGAGGCCTCCGAGGCAGCAGGCCGGCAGGTGGCAGGGCGTGGCGGGGCAGGCAGGGCCCCTGGAGGGCACAGGCCCCGCCTGGCTGGCACAGGGACCCAGGGCCAGGGCACTGCTCTCCCCGATGCCTCCCGTCACGGCTCCCCGGGCGCCTCCCGTGCTTCGCGACAAATGCGCTCGTTAGCCGCTGTTGACAGCGGCGAGGCACGCAGACGAGCAAAGCAATTACTGCGCCAGCCCAGCGGCCACCGCACGCAGGTGCGCTGGGGGCAGGATGCGTCTGCCCTCTGGCCCCGCCCCCCTTCCCACTGCGTGGTGGCCCCACCCAGTCACAGGTCAGTGGGCTCCCAGCCCGGCCCCACGGGTGACACCTTCCCACGTGCCTGTCAGGCGGGAGCTCAGAGCCCCCCGGAGACGGCCCGACAGGCCAGCCCACATCCCAAGCCACTGGGCCCAGAATTCCAGGAGCCGGGGCTGGGCGCCGTCCAGCCCCCTCCACAGGTCCCGCGCTGCCTGCCAACTCCGTCCTGACCCTGGGGATCCTGCTGGGTGAGACCGGAGCCCTGCCCTCCAGACACGAGTTGGACAGGGCCCAGCCAGGCTGCCCCTGTGGCCCGGAAAGTCAGCGACTTCCATGTCCATGGAACTGGCACAGTCTGCCTGGCACCATTGACTGGGGTTCCCTGGCAAGGCAGGCGGGCACCCGGGCGGGGCCTGGCACAGGCTGGCTCTGGCACCTGGCCAGACCAGCGACTGCCCCGACAGAGAGCTGACCTCACCAGTTGCATGTGCCACCTGCGGGGCAATGCCCACGGAGCAGGGGGCCGGCTCCCAGCAGGGCACCCTGGGCCCGCCTGGGCGGCCTCGGTGCCCCCAAGGAGGCTGTGCCACCAGCCAAAGCCCCGCTCCAGCCTGGGCCTCCCACCTGCCAGGAGGCTCCCTCTCCGCTCCTCGCCCTGCTGTTCCCGCCTCACTCCCCTGGGGGCAGCAGTTATTGAAAACGGTCCATCAGATTCAATGAGGATTCCAAGCCCCTGAGAGGATGGGGGTGGGCAGGGAGGGGGAAGAGAGGGGGTAACCACCCACTCCTCTGCCTTTCCCTGAAGACCTTCTTCAGCCTCGGGGGGGGGGGGGGGGGAGCGGGGAAGAGGGAGGGGGAGGGTGGGACCAAGGGGGCAGCCCTCACGGGCACTCTGTTGCCTTCCAGGACCTTTGGGCCTGAGTTTGGGGTCAGCCACGTCCCAGCTGCCCAGGGCCTGTCTTTGTTCCCCGACACCCACCCGCTCCTGTGCTCCCCGCTGTCCTCACCTGTCGCCTGCTGGTCTGGGTGCTCCCGCCCCAATGCAGCCTGCTCTAGCCCCCCTTCCCTGATGAGGAGGGGCTTGGAGGTGGTCTTGCACTCCCCCCCACCCCACAGGGCCCTGCACAGCATGAACCAAGGGTCCTGTCTCCATGGGAAACACAATAGCTGGGGAGCACTGGCCTCCCTGACCGGAGCCCCACGGAAGCCATCCCTCCCGCCCTGCCCCGAGTTCAGCCCTGCTCGGCCTCAGGTGCCCCCAGGTCATGGCCGGCTGGGGATCATTTGAACGTCAGTCCTAGACGCTGACCCAAGCCCAGACACAGGCCAGGGAGGTCTGGGCCTGTGCCGACGGGGCAGGGGAGGGGGGGATGGATGGGTAGAGGAAGGTCGGGGGAGAGTCTGCCAGGCAAATGGTTCAACAGAGCCAGGCCCCTTGGGCCATCCCACACCCCAGCCCTGGCCCCTAACCCCGACAGCCTTCACAGAACATGCCTGGTCTGTTCTTCCAGCCACTCCCCTCTCCCTTCCCACCGACTCCTGCCCCACACAGCACCCAGCAGCACTGCCCTACCTCGTGCCCAGGGGCCTGGGCAATCCTTCTGCCTCGTGAGAGGAGACCCACCGTGCCAAGGCCCCCCACCCATTCAGGGTGCCCCCCATACTCTCCCAGAAGGGCCTGCCCAGCAGAGGTGCTGCAGGGAGCAGAGCATTAACAGGTGGAGCAGGCGGGACCTCAGGCACGGCTGCCCCCAGGGACAAGCTGGCAGAGAGCCGGGCAGGGCGGGCACCCTCCCGACCTGGTCTCTATCCCCACCCGCTGTGGGAGCTCAGACTGCCTCGCTGGCCCTGCTCACTCGCTCACGGCAAGGTCACCTCTCCCTCCCTCCCTCCCTGCTGCCGTCCTGCCCGCCCACGGCCACGCTGACCCCTGCAGGCGTGGGCAGGCATCAGAGGGACACAGGGAGGCCGGCCTGGGGACCCCAGGGGAAAGCTGCGGACGGGGGAGCGGGCTGTGTGGCTGGGGGGCGGCAGGGGCGTTTGCAGGCAGAGCTGGGGAGGGAGGCCGGGCGGAGTTGGGCAGAAGCTGACGGGAGTCTTCCTTCTTCACTGGGCCCCAGCTTCCCCCATGCTTCCTGGCTTCAGCCTCCAGAGATCTGGGCGAGAACTGCCCGGGGACCAGGGCCCCAAGTGGGACAAGGGCACAGCCAAGTGGGAGGGGAGCTGCTCCTGTCCGATCCCGTGAGTAAGGACTTCCCCGTGGGCTGGGCCCACGGTGACAGGCCCAGTGAGGCGGTACCACCGGGACCCGCTGGAGCCAGCTGGGGACGGAAGGGAGGGGGATAGGGCAGGGGATTAAGGCGTTTTCAAGGACTGGGCCACAGGTGTTCCTGGGAGTGAAATGAAGGGGTCGGATATAAAAGGCGCTGGGCCCTGGGGGACCAGAGGCACCGGCCCAAACCCCACAGGGATTAATTTGCCTGTCTCACTCCCACCTGGTGCCATCCGAAGGAACGGTGGGGGGACAGAAATAGGGGACACATAGGCCTGGCTGGGGGAGCAGAGTCTGGGGCGGCCTGGGATGAGCTGGGGGTGGGGGGGTGTCTAGCCTGGAACTGTGAGGTTTCAGGAGGTAGGCAGGGATGCTGGGGACACAGAGGCCAGAGGTGGGCACTGGTGGGCACGCAGCTGCAGGGGGAGTGGGCAAGACAGGGAGGCCCCTGCCGAGGGGGAAGAGGGAAGGGTGTGGGGGCCCCAGCACTGGGTTCTAGGCCTTTCCCCTACATGACACCAAACACAGAAAGTTGGCGTCCGTGGAGAGGGCAGGGGTGTTGTCATGGTGCCAGGCCTGGGCAGGGGGGGGGGGGAGGAGAATCGGAGAGAGGACAAGGGCACAGCACCAGGCCACGAACCTATCCGAAGAGGGGAGGCTGCCAGGCTGGCTGGGCCGGGGCCGGGAGTGTCCTTCCTGCCTCTCCCCCGCCATCCTCACTCATCCCCCTGAGCTGGTCTCTGTTTGCTCCCCACAGGATGAGCCGGGCAGGAGAAGGCCCCTGCCCTCGGCCCAAGTGCTGGGCACTGGCAGGTCGCCTGGGTCCAGAGGAAGAGAGGAATTTTCAAAGGCAACGTCCCTCCAGCCATCGCATTCGCCGATGGGCACGAGGCTCCGGGGAGGGAGACTGAGTCTCTCTCGCCTGAAACCTGAGTCCTGAGAGCGGGCAGTGCCTGGCACCCGGTCTGCCCGGCGGCGGCGGCTGCAGTGGCCGTGGGGCTGAGAGGCAGCTCCTCAGGAGGCAAGGGCAGACGGAGGCGGCCCCCGAGGGAGCCTGCAAAGTGGGGCCGGGGCTGCCCTGAGCTCTGGGTCCCTTCAGTGGAGGGTCTCAGAGCTGCTCCCGCCCCCGGGGCCCCCACTCCCGCACCGGTACTCCCCGAGACTCCTCTGAGAGCAAGTCCTCAGGCCGGGGTGACGTGCTTGTAGCCTCAGAGGAGAAACCCAGAAACTGAGACCCCCCCCTGCCAGAATGGGCAGCCGGCTGGGAGTGCGGGGCCTGGGGTGGAGCACCCCGGGAGGGAGCTGAGCTCAGCCTGGGCAGGAGCTGGAGGGGGCCTGCCTACAGGTGGGCAATGCACAGGGAGGAGGCGTCGGGAGCCAAGGAGGGAACGGCAGGGCGATTGCCCAGGGAGGGAAGGAGGGTTCCTGGCTTAGCTGCCAGGATGCCAGGACGCCAGGATGCCAGGACGCCGCCAAGCAGACGTGGGCTCCAGGCCACTCCCCAGGCTCCAGCTCCGGGGAAATGCAAAGGAGCGGTCTTTGCCCCCCTCCCCCACAAGGCAGGAGTGAGTTTGGGGTTCTCCGAGCCCCCTCCCCAGGCCCAGGAGCCCACCCCCCTGGCACCCCCAAGCTCATCCATCCATCCCCGCTCGCGTTCTCTCCAGGTGCTCCGGCCCCCCTCCCCTCGCTCCTGCGGCGCCCCAGCCCCCTCCCCTGCGGCTGCACCACATTCCCGCTTGCCCCCTGGCACCCTCTCAATTCACAGCTGGCACCGCCGGGGGCACCGTTCCCCAGTGCCCGCAGCCTTGACCACAAGCTTCCGGGGATCCTGGTTGGTCCTGGGGTCCCCCAGCGCGGGCACCTCCCCTTCGGGGCGCCGGTGCTGGGGACCCGGGTGCCAGAGGCGCTGCCGCTCCGGAGCCGGCGCCTCGCTCCGCCACGCTCGCTGTCCTTGGGCTGCGGGGCGCGCGCGGGGGGGGCTCCTTGTGGGGACACTGCGAAGCCGGCGCCGGGCATCCGGCCGGGCAGGGCTTGGACCCCAGGAGGCGGGGGTCCGGGGTCCGAGCCGTGGCCGCACACGCCCGTGCCCGCGGCTGGAATGACCCTGGGGGAGTCCGCGCGGCTCCGGCGGCCCCGGGCTGGGCTCCGAGACGGCGGCGCCCCGCGCTGCCGCCGTCCTGCCCGCCGGCGCGGGGCGCCGGCCCGCGGGGCCCGCTTACCTGGGCTGGCCGCCTCCGGGTCCCGGTACATGGTCCCCGCGTCGCCGGCTCCCTCCGGGCTTCTCAGAGCCGCCCGCGGCCGCGCACTGCTCCGCCGCCGCCGCAGGGCATGGGGCCCGGCGCCCCCCGGGGGCGGGTCCGAGGGCGGGGGCCGCGCGGGCTGCACGGGGCCGCGGAGCCGGGGAGCGGGGGCCGCCCGCCAGCCTCCCGCCGCCGCCGCCGCCGCAGCCGCCGCCGAGCCTCCTCCCTCCGGCCCGCGCTGCGTGTGCGTGCCGGAGCGTGTGTGAGTGTGTACGAGGCGTGTGCGTGCGTGTGTGTGTGTGTGTGTGTGTGTGTGTGTGTGTGTGAGCGAGAGAGCGCGCCCGGGGCACCGCCGGCGCCGCCCGCCTGCTGCCGCCCCTGCCCGTGCCCGCTGCTGCCCGCTGCCGGCCGCCCGCCGCACTGCAGCCCGCGCCGCCGCCGCCCCGAGCCGCCCCGAGGGCACCGCCGCGCCCCGCGCCCCGCGCCCCGCCCGCCAACGGCCCCGCGGGGAGGGCACCGTGCCCTCCGCTGGGCGCTTGGAGCCTGGGGTCCCGCCGCACTGGGCGACCCGCCCCCGGTGGCAGCGGCCTCGGAGCACACCGGGCCGCGCGGTGCCGGCCGCCTCCTCCGAGGTGCCCTTTGATTCCGCTCCAAGAGGCATTGAAATCCCGCCCAGGTTTTCCGCTCGGTGGCGGTTCCAGGGCGTCAGCTCGGGACTCCGCTCCGCCAAGGTCCCGGGAAGACGGGCTGGTGTGTGCGAAAACCAGGACTGGAGTTATTTTTGCCAGGCTGAGCCTGGATCCGCTCCTCTTAGTCCCCCAAGCTTGCACACAAATGGAACGGAAAAGTCTAGAATGGCCACCCTTGGTGGAGGACTAGCCCAGTGACGGTCCCCGCTTATGCCAGTCCCTCAGGAGAAGAAAAGAGACCTTTCAGCCTGTGCTCACCCCTCTCCTGCACAGCGCTCCCCTCCCCTGCCCCCTCCCTGTTTTCCTGACCTTGCTTTAGTGGGTAGGAAAGAATCCCTCTTTGGCTTCCAACCCTGGGGCTCTCTTGGTCTGCTCTGCCCCTCTGTTAGCTCAGCTCAGTCCAAATCAAGGGAACCCTAGTTCCTCTTTCTCCGCAGAATTGGTGTTTGATTCTGTGGCGGAGAAGGGTGTGTGTGTATTTCTTCCAAGGGTTTGAAGGGCCTGGAGCCAAACCATTGGTGGTTTCAGGGATGGAGACCTCCTGCACACACTGTCCCCCCCTCCCACACACACACACAGGCACACAAACACACCTCCACACGGGAGAAACAGACACGGGGGTGTCACCCAGCACAGCAGCGGCCCCAGTTCAGGAAGCTCCCCCACCCCCCATCAGCAGCCTGCTCCCCCCTCCGCTGAGAATGCAGTTCACAGACAGCCAGGCTTCCCGGAGCCCAGGCTTCCCACTCCCACCCTGGCAAATCAACTAACCGGTTTCATCCTGCACGGCTCCCACCCAGCTCACCTCCATCTTTCCACGGCCCAGCAGGCAGCAGCACCCACAGGGGCAAACCTTTGTCTCCAGTCTCCCCCAGCACACACATACACACACACACACACACACACACACACACACACGCCCCTCCGCCCACAGCTCTTCCGGCTGGGGAGCAGACAAGGAAATCCCCCAAGCACCCCTTAGTGAAGATTGCCCCCGTGGGGACAGATTTCCCTGGATTGAACGCTCTCACTACACTCAGGCGGCATTGGTAGGTTCTGGCCCACAATTCCTCGGTGGCCGTGAATCGCAGCCCTCGGCCCCTGCTTCAGGGCCATTACGCTTCCTACACCCACAGGCAGCCGAGAACCCAGGGCCGTCCCACACCCCTCTCTAGCCAACCTCAGCAAGCCAAGCCTCCCCCTGAGGCTCAGGCTCTTAGGCTCGGCTGTTCCTGGGCTCTCCCCCAGCTGGTAAAGAGCAAATAGTGCCCCTCTTACCCCCCTGCCTCCTGTCCCCTTCCCAACCCTCCCCCCCACCAACGGGCACCACACAGAAGGGTTCCCTGTTCAGAACCCGTCCACCCCTCCCCCTGCACTCCACAGCACTCTGAGCGCATCTAGAATCCCGGAGTGTCTCAGAGGGGGCGAGGGAGTGGGCCTCTGAGAGGTCAGCCGCCCAGGGCGCCCCACAGGTGGCAGAGGGGCAGGAACTGACCCAGGGAGCTAACAGCCCCCGAGCTGACAACCCGGGGAGGGGCAAGAGCTCCAGGGGCGGACCCCTCGGTCCTGACTCTCAGCCTTCGCCAGCCTCCTGGGTGAGATGTTGAGGTTCTCAAGGAGACGTGTGGCTGCCCCCATCCGAGAGCTCACAGCCTGTCCCTCACGAGCACGAACCCCCGCCTCGCCGCCCCAGCAGCCGCCGGACAGCGGTTGTTCGGGAACATCAGAGCTGGAGCATCCAGCGGACATGCCAGACCCACCCGAGGAGACTCTGTGGTGGGAACGCAGGACCTCGGGGTTGCCTGCCGGCCTCACCGACACCCTAAGCGTGTAGAGACACCCTTTCCCAGGGCCCCAGGCACTTTGTCCAGAGGTGGCCGTCGTTGGGAAGGGGAGAGGATACAGATCTGTGCGGTTCCGTCCCTCACAGCTGTGTGACCTGGCGCCTCCGGGCCTCTGTTTTCTCACCCATACCATGGGGACAATAGCCGCACTTCTTCCTTCTACTGTGATGGAGGTGGGGCGAGAGGACTCAGAGCACTTGGCATGCGACACAGAGCACCCAACGTGTTGTTAGGTATTGAATGCGAGGCGCCACCTACTCCGAGTTTCCATGTTCTGCCTGTCCAGGAAGTCCTTCCAGATGTCTGACCTCTGAGCCCTCCTGCTGGGCCATCAGCGGGCACTGTGAGCGTCTGCCTCCTGAGCCCTCCTGGAGGACTGGGCACAGGCAGGAAACAAAGCCAGAGCCGGAGTGAGCAGGCCCCCTGCGAAGGGAGAGCAGCAGGTGTGCCTCACCCCGGCCCTGCCCGCAGGCCCCGGCCCTGGCAGGCGAGGGCCAGGGCCTTGGTGCTCCGCCTCTCCCTCCCCCCCACCCCCTTCTCATTCTGTGAAGCTCTGGCCTCCTGTCCCAGGTTCCGTGCTGGCAGCCATGGCGTCCCGCGGACCCTCAGGCCTGCTTCCAATCTGGCGCTGCCATCAGGGCCCAGGTGTCCTGGGTCGGCTTCGGGAGGGACGTTCTGTCCCCCGGGAGCAGCTGCCAGGCCTGCGCTCTCCTCACTGGGGCCCTTGAGGCCACCTGGCTCTGTTGCTAGGCCACGGCTTGCAGGCAGGGCTCCTGGCTCCCCTCTGGCCTCTACCCGTCACGGTCTCCACGCTGCTGCCTGCGCGGCTCCGTCCCACGGCGCCCTGCCCCGCCCCCGTGGCCAGGGCTGAATTATTAACACAAGTGCTGAGGGAGCTGTTTGTGCAGCTCACGTGGCAGAACAGACACCCCTCTCTGCTTGCCACCATCCATGTGGCCAGAGACGCGGCTGGGCATTTGCCTGACCCAGGAGGGACGGGCTCAGAGACCAGCCGAGCCCGAGGATGTGCCAGGTCAGGAGGGAAGACCTGCTCGGCCACCTGTCCCTGCAGCTACCCCGTCCCCAGGCGGCCCTTTCCTCCCCTGCAGAGGGTAAGAGTCTGGAGAAGGTACCAGCATCAGATTCACAGCCGTCACCTCCCCAGAGAGGCTGTGACTGCAAACGCCCAGCAGCCGCTGCCACTGTCTCTGTGCCCACCTCGTCACAAAGGAGACTGGATCAATACTTGCTCGTCAATTATCTCTCCTCTCCAGACCCAGTGACCCCTGAACCTCGAGGCCCCCCCCCACCCCAGGGTCCGCACAGGCCACACTTCCGCCAGCCCTGCTGTGGAGGCCCGTTGCTAAAGCTGCAGGTCCTGCCACTAGCTGGCGGCTTGGCTTTGACTGGTTCCTGGATGTCTCTGGGCCTCTGTTTTCTCCTCTAAAATAGGGCTAAAGCCTGGCCGGTGTGCTCAGTGGCTGAGTGCCGTCCTATGAACCAGGAGGTCACGGTTTGAACCCGGTCAGGGACACGTGCCTGGGCTGCAGGCTCCACCCCCAGTGTGGGGCATGCAGGAGGCAGGCAATCCATGATTCTCACTCATCGTTGATGTTTCTATCTCTCTCCCCTCTCCCTTCCCTTCTGAAATAATATATATATTTAAAATATATAATAGGGCTAAATAATTGCACCACACAGGCCTGTGAGAATACCCTGGGCCTCTGCCTAGGGGCCTACAAGGTGGGTTCCGGCTCTGCCGGTCTGAGCCCAGGCAAAGGCTAGGCAAAGGCTGATGGTCTGTTCTGACTCCTTGGGGTGACCCCCAGCTCCCAGCACCCTGCTCACACTGACCTCCCTTAGCCCAGGGTCCCCATTCCTCCCCCTCAGGTCAGGTTGCAGGGCCAAAAGCATTCTCTTTCCAAAACGCCTTCACCAGCCCTAGTATCCCTGGCTTTCTCCCTGTAACCAACATCCCATCCAGATTCTGACTCCGAGTCTCTCTGCATGGCCATCCTGACACCCCCATGTGCTTTGGCTCAGCCCCTCAAACCCTCTGCACCCCGAAAGATAAATCTGTCACCCTTCTCCTGGCCAGCCCCTGGGTGGGACGGCCCCAGCCTCAGTCAGAATCATGGCCTCAGGCCTCTGCTGAGACACCCCCTTGGGTGCACAGTGGAAGTGCCTCAGTTTGTCTATTACAAGCTGGGTGACCTAGGGCAGATGGCTCTGACCCTCAGAGCCTTGGACGACCAGCCTGCACTATAAGAATGTCAGTGTTTAATTTTTTTTTTCTTTTTTAAATATGTTTTTATTGATTTCAGAGAGGAATGGAGAGGGAGAGAGAGAAACATCAATGATGAGGGAGAATCATCGATTGGCTGCCTCCTGCATGCCTTCTCCTGGGGATTAAGCCCACAACCCAGGCATGTGCCTTTGACCGGAATGGAACCTGGGACCCTTCAGTCTGCAGGCTG